GTATCTGTCTCGAGCCTTTCACTGTTCATGACCCTACCACTGTACGATTCATCACTCTTTCTCGTTCTCCTCTTAAATAATTGATTTGATCGTTTTCTTAACTCTGTTGTTAGTTGGTGATCGAGCTGGTACATTACAGTTTAGGTTGATTGTAGTTCTTTGAGATTTTGTGACACCTTTTAATTAGCATTGGTTGGACTCGTTGCTTGGTGATGATTTTGCGTTCACTGTCGTGATTTATTACTTGATTGTTTTATTGTTTGATTTTGTGACCTTTTAAGCTTTGAGGTTAATTTTTATACTTGATCGCTTACTTTTACAGTTTGACTCGATTTATTATTAGCTCTATTAACTTTGAAGTCTACTGTGAAATTTCCCCTACTCCGAGGCTTTGTATATGATTTTAGCAATCTGTTTAGTGCAGTTGAACGACACATGTCTTATGAATATTGATGCGTGGATTCTCTACGTTTTCCCCCTCTTTGGCAGATAATTTGCTCAAAAACACACATAGAATAGAGATGAATTTAACTTTTCCAGTTCTGATTATTCGGATGTTGATAAACTTTTGAACACAATTTTTAATCTGTCCTGTTTTTGAGGGGGAATGATTTTCTGTTAATTCTACAATTCTGAATATCAATGCCAACAACATTCGAGTATGTTTACTTGTTTTCATAATGTTATTCCCTGCTGTTGCATTATGATGAGTTTTACTCGTTTTGTGTCATAGACCTATATTATACGCCCTTCTATCTTGATTTGCACTGCCTCTAGATGGTTGTTTGAAGGGTCGAGCTTTCTGAACCTTATTTTTCGTTTTAGGTTACCAATTGCAGACATGAATATCATCTTCACTGCATTCTTGAATGGTAAGCATCTTTCTAACTTTAAAATTAGACTTGTTTCTTTCTTGGAAACAGAGCATCTTCCATGGTTTTCCTCGGAATGCAATAATGTTGTAGTTATATGTTCTTTAATGCTGTCAATCCTAACTGAACTCGTTTTTCGACTAGGTCACAAAGAAGCAAAGAGTGTCCAATATGTTGGCAGTCATTTGTCCTAAAGGACCCTGCCAGGTGTGTAACATGTTAATTTCCCTGCCTCTTCTCTGATTCTCTCCGTATGTGTATTCTTTTTAGTCTGATGCTGATAGGCAGAAATCATCAGCTAATCAATGAGTTTGGTTATATACTATGCATCTTTGCAGCCAACAGCTTCTAGATGCTGTCAGAATTGAAAGGAACTGCATGTCAACGAACACACCAGTCGTGCCCACAGATTTGCATTACTTCTATGACAGTTTTGGTGTTGAGGAGGTGATTTATTTGGTTCTTTTGAAGTTTTGCCTGTAATTTAAACTCATTATTCCACTCTATCAGGAGTATTTATTGATGAAATGTTCTTGCTGTCCCAGGATGCATTTCATTCAGATGACTCAGACTTTGATGAACACATTTTGCAGCATTTAGCACTTGCTGCGAGCAGAGTTCGTTACGCTCGCAGAAGGGAAAGACAAATATCTTCTGGACTTGGCCCTTCGCAAGTGTTTTTTCCACCTCTCCTGAAAACATGCCAGGCACGCTACATTTATATCCAAATTCACCTGATGAAAGCCAAACCATGAGTCATGGGTTACCCCAGTGTGATTCACAGGCTTCAGGCATACCATCAGTTAATACTAGCCCTCAGTCACCTGTGACTCCATCTGTTAACATGGTATCTAGTGCTGCTTGCAGTGGAGATGAAGCTATCAAGCTGAGGTTCATATTTGTTTTACTCTCGTAGCTTGTTAGAAATATGCCTTTTGTAACATGTCTTACTGGAAGGTCATCCTTAAAATTTGCTTCCATCAAATAATGTGTGAGATTTATATTATGCATACACTAGAGATCTTCTGACATGGCTTTTAGTTGTCACCTATCAAAATTTATTAAACTATAATAGTATTTATATGTTATCTTATCCTGTTTTGAACCTGTAAATGGTATTTCTCTGAAGTGTTCTATTTTTATTGGCAATTCATATTGTTGTATTAGTATTATCTAGTCTTTAACACCATGAAATTTTCTGATTTTCTTCAGTCAACCACCGGTAGGTACTCCAAGTAGACCAAGCTCAGTTGAATCAGTCTCTTTCTCCGAGTTTATAAAATCTAAATGGTCCAATGCTTCAGCCAGGTATTTCTGTGTCCATTGAGCTTTTTAGACAGATCTACTTGTTACTAAAGGCATGAATGTATTTCAACAGATATAAGGAATCAATTTCTAAAGGTACCAAAGGTCTGAAAGAGAAGCTTCTTTCTCGTAATAACTCTGTTAAGGAGCTCAGCAAGGGAGTGCAGCGTGAGATGAGTGCTGGGGTTGCAAAAATGATTGAGCGACTAGATATTTCTTCGAAAAGACCTGAAGCCTCCAAGCCTGCTTCTGGTGGCACAGGCCGCACCTTAAACATTTTATTTAAGGGAAAGGCCGTGGAAGAAAATGTTATTGCTCAGGGTCTTTCTAATAACCGTGTAGAATTTGCTCATGGTTTAAAATCAGAAGCACCGTCTCATCTCTCTAGTGTCATGCCTGACAAACTAGAAGCTTCTCTCCACCAGGTATCCCAAACATTTCTTTGAATGTAAATTATTTCAATTCATTGCTCCTGATGGTTAATCGTCTGATCTAGCATCCATGATTGTAACCTAGCAATATTCCTTTAGAAACATGGGCGTCTTCTTTAACTTCTCTTTTTCAGTAAAATTTTTTCATATATGCAAATCGAATATTCCTTGGACATGGGTTTTAGGTTATGTGAAGTGCTTAACCTTGATGATATTGTTTGTGTTTCAGAGGGATCAATGATGCATTCGTCACAAGGCATTGGCTGATTGGTGGTGGCGATAGATTTTTCGTTATGGGTGAGATTATCTAATGCAAGTGGCGTAAAGTGAGGACACTGATTTAGCGGGTTGTCTCGCGTCCTGCATTGCTTATTTCTTTATACACGTGCCAAGTAAGTCTCAACTTTAGTTGTCAAAATCACTCGGAAAAGCGTTTATTTTTCTATCCTATTCACTATTCAGTGTGTGCTGTTCGCATATTTGATTACTCACAACACAAGCTTGACAGTCGGCTTTCATTTGGGCCTGTTGATATATATGTGAAAATTGATTCAGTTGTAACAATTCGCTATATTTGGTTTCATGCCACTGTTTGAACTGGTCGGATCATAAGTTTCAGTTTCAGATTTAACTGATCTGTTCGACTTAAATCCGAAAAAGCTCTAATTTGACCCATAAGTCATACTCGTAATACCATCACCAATGGTAGTGTGACCAAGATCCTGACTTCCCAGTGCTAGACTTGCCTGTCTTCGGCCCGAGCTGTATGACAGAAACTTACCCCATGTATGGTTCTGTGGCTGGTCCCCATGCCGGACGAAATCGTGTGATTAACTATAAAATTCCTAAATCGGTTCACATTCGAGTTGACGAAACGAAGTTTTTTTACACGACCGGTATTATAAAACTTAAAAGAGACGTGCACGATGATGATAGAATAGAAGTACCACGTGAACCTTCAAGTTAAAACAAATATACCGTTGAAAGCAATTTGGAACTTAAAAGTTCAAAATGTTTAGTATGATTTGGGAAAAATTTGAAAGTTTAGATACTAAAAGATACCAAAATTGATAGTTTAGGTACTAAACACGTAGTTTATCCAACTTTCTTTTATATATAAACGACTTTATATTATGCATATACTTGAACCAAGAGAACTCATTATTTAAAAACAATTATAATTTTTTGGGTTTCTGATTCGAACATCACGTATATAGAGGTGTATAAATGTTCAATGTGAAATAATTGAAAATCTTTAAAAAAATATTACCATTTATTCACTTATACTAATAAAAAAGTGTAAAATAAACAAATGATCCTCGACTTTAGGGTGATACTTTGTTGAGTCCCCCGACTAGTAAAAGTTACAAAATAATCACTCGACTATTCATATATTTCAAACTCGTCATTTCTTGAAATATTTTGTGGATCGAGTCTTTGTTTACATTATGTTGTCAAGCCAATGTTTGAAATATTATGTCATCGAGTCAATGCTTGAAAGCAACAACGATGACAGTAGACATTGTTAAAATATGATTTATCATATTTCAATTAGCAGATTGACGTCCAACTCAGACAACCATCAATTTTTTAATGGAAAATGACTAGCTTGGAACATATGGATAGTGACTATTTTGTAATTTTTAATAATCAAATGATTCAATAAAGCAACGTCTTATAATTAAAGAATTATTTTATAATTTTTAATAGTTGAGAAACTTAATAAAGCAGTACACTATAATTGGAGGACTATTGTATACTTTACCCTAAAGAATATATATTACTCTTCATCCGTAAATTATATAAATTTAGCATTTTATTAAATTGTTTTTAAAACTATTTTTTTAGTTTTAAATATTTAATTTTATTACTATAAATTAAGAGTAAACTACATGTTTACTACCTAACTATCACTTTTATTCCATTTTGATCATTCAACTATTTTTTGTTTCAAAATCATATCTAATGTTATGTTATGGTTTCATTTTGGTCACTTATCATTAAAAAACTAACGATGATACTAAAAAATTTATGTACCAGTATGAATCAAGAAGTCAAGTTTAAATGCATCATTCAATCTAAAACAACACAAGTGCTAAACCGAGCTAAAAATTTAAGTTCAAGTTAAGTACCTTTTTGTAAGTTGATTTTTTTTTATTTTCTTAATTAAACTCGCAAATTTAGATACTAAAAAAAATTATGAATTCGAATGAGTTTAAACATATAATGTATAGATTAGAAAATATAAAAAATCCAAATATATAAGCAACATTTTATATCAAACTAATAAATAAATCTATAACGATGCAAAATATGACACGTATGTTTTGAGAAGCTCAGTATTTCTCAACAATGCCATTGGTTCAACCATGCTTCTCTTTTCATCCCAGACCGGAAGAAAATCAACCGTCTTCTTCACTAGCTCCGTCCAAAAGCCAAGGAGTGGCTAAGCATGTTGCTGTCGGGCGAGGAACCGGAGCCGCAGGCTTGGTCGTGGAGATGCAGAAATTTATACACGAGGGCTCCTAGGACAGCTCCGATTATGGGGGCCGTGAGATAAATCCAGATGTTTTCGAAGTTTCTCGAGACGATCGCCGGTCCTATGGACCTCGACGGGTTCAGCGATCCTCCCGAAACGGGCCTGCAAGGAAGATCGAAACCGGAAAGTGTTGATCACCCTCGGCAATTGGCCTAATTGAAGGTAACCAAGAGCTTAATTAATGTGTGTATATGTACCCTGAGATCAGGACCGCAAGTCCAATGGCTATTCCAATAACCAAGCCAGATACTTGACCAACCTGCAAAACTCCAGGGTCATGGATCCCGATTTGTATTTTCATTTTGGTCGAAATATGATGTCGATCCTTGTACTTAAATAAACTCGATTCGGAAAGTAATAGTTCGATCGTTGACGCCATTAATAAGTTTAGAGTTTAGGGTTTAGAGTTATCTCTCTACTTCATTGAACTACATATCAAAACCGTCTTGTCCCGCCCTGTGTCCTTCCGTAAAAAGAACCACATCAAAATTTATCAAATCATAAGGACTGATGACATGCTTTACCCATCGTTTTTATTTATATATATAGAGAGAGTTAATTGCATCATACGTCTTTACACTATGATTCTCTTTCTAATTAGTCCCTAAATTTTTAAAATTTTCAATTTCATCCCTAAACTGTGAATATCATTCTAAATTTATCCTCAAACTTTTAAGTTTTCATCCCTAAACTATATCCTTCATTCTAAATTGATCCCTAAAATTTTTCAATATTTCAATTTCATCCCAAATTTTATGTATATACTAATCACATTCCATGTAATAAATCGTTAGGCCAACCTATATTATTATTTGTTTGAAAAAAATAAGTTCAGGTTAAACTATGATTAAAACTAATGACATATTTGGATGAATTTGGGGATGAAATTGGAAGATTTAAAAGCTTGGGGGCCAATTTAGAATACGGGTCATTGTTTGAGGATGAAATTGAAATGCTCAAAAGTTTAAGGACTAATTTAGAATGAGTATCATAGTTTGAGGATGAAATTAAAATATTCAAAAGTTTAGGGACCAATATAGATGAGGGCCATAGTTTGGCGACATATGATTCCGATTAATATTGGAGTAAATATGGGCAGTTCCCTTACGGATTCTGATTGTTGAGTGACTGCCGCAACAACGAAAACGACGATGAACGTGGAAATGAGCTCAACCATGAACGCCGATCGACACCCTTGGCTCGGTTGCGTCAACATTAGCTCCGATTCTATGCCATAGATGAACTCTCCCATCAACGTCGCCAATACAGACCCCAAAATCTGAGCCAATACGTAAAGCGGCACCTGTTCAAACCAGACAAATTTCATGCATGTTGTCACCTACAAATTACGTAAAATATGCCAAGGTATTGTTAAAAGCACCCTGGACCAAGGAAAATATCCAAATGCTGCAATGGCAATGGTGAGAGCTGGGTTCACATGAGCACCAGATATCGAGCTGATTGAGAAGATCAGCACGACGATCGTTAGCCCGGCCGTGATGGCATACTCCAGCAGAGCTTCCCCTCCTTCTGGTTGCTTAGTGCTGGCAATGATCCCACTTATGCAAAACATTAAAATGAAAGTCCCCAACATCTCAGCCAATATCTGTAATGCACATGTACATGTACATGTACATGTGTGACAGTAAGTAACATCATCGTGTAAATAAGCCCGATCCCGAGTCGATTTTCTTACCGCACGAGCAGAGTTAAGATCCTTGCCCCGAGGGAAGCAACGGAAAGCGGCGTTCTCGATCGAGATATCCGCATCGGGCGATGTAGGGCTAGAACCCGTCTCGTGACCGATCGATCCGTTGTCGGGAATGGAGGTGGGGAGATCATTGTCTTTGAAGAAATGTTTCATTCTGATGTGGGAAGCCTTCAAGACAAATCAGTGTCATGTTGTGGTAGTACATATATAGAAGTATAAAAGGGGGGATAAAGCCTAAAGGCAAGGGTGTAAAGAAGATGTAATACTAGAAAAAGGGTGAATTAAAAATAGATTCTTGGGCACAGGTAATAGGGGTCATTGATATAGCAAGGGGGGGTTTTGAATGTGGTTGAATTGTTTGTTGTTCACGCAGTTTCAGCTGGCGATGTGGGATGGTGGAAGTTTGACAAGAAATTGTGCCATTTGTGAGGTGAAAACACTTTCCCTGTGCTGCTTGGGATTGGCTCAACTAAATATACCAATTTGTTTGTAATTCTCAACTATTTTAATTCATAAGATTAAGGTAAAAAGGCATGAGACTTCCTATACTTTTGAGAGAAAAATAATAATTTGGTCATCGTATTATTATTTTTTTAATATGGCATCCAACTCAGAAAACAAACTCAATATAACCTTTTCTTCAATATTTTTCGTCGTTGAACGTTACAGTACCGGCTTACCAATTCACTGTATTGACGTGGCAGTCCATGGTACTGAGACTGCCACATTTTAGTTACCAATTTAACTAATCTGTCATGTCATCTACCACCTTAGACTGCCATGTCAACATCGTGAATTGCCTCATCAGCACCTTAACGGTCAACGATAAAAAACCGTTGGTCAAAAGGTCACATTAGATTTATTTTCTGAGTTAAATAATTATATTAAAAGAAAAAATAATTCAAAAGTCGTATTTAATTTTTTATTTCAAAAGTATAGGTACTTTTGATGTCTTTTCACCTAAGATTAATAAGTATTCACCCTGGATTCCATAGGTTAATATTTTCTTTTATAACTGGAGAAAAAATATAAATGACTTAAATCTTATTAAAATTTATAACTTATAAATAAATATCTTTAACTCGTAATAAAGTAATTTTTATCCTAATCATAAATCTCAAAACCTTAAACCTTAAACGTTAAATTTTAAAGATTAAATCTTAACCCTTAAATCAAACCTATTAATTTACAACCTATTAATGTCAGAAAAGGTGAACTGTGAAAATCAACACAGCCCCATTCCTCTAATCGACAAATTCGAACATGAAAAAAATGTTTATTAAAAGAATGGAATGGATAAGAATGAAAACGACTTCTAAGAAACTATAACAATAAACAAAGGCACCTATTAATAAACGATGAGGATAAAGAAACAAAGTAAGGGGGTGATGCATAGGGCATAGAGCATAGGGGCATGGGAATTGGCATATCATTTGTTGACAAATGACAAATCTACGTGAAAGGATGGGAGAGGGCCCCCCCCCCAACCAAAGGATAGTCCATTTGACAGCTTACCGGAATCATGAACAATGAACCCATATAAATAAAATAAAAATAAAATACACAAATGATCTCCTCACTATAGATTATTGTCTTATTAAGTTCATCGACTATTAAAAGTTTTAAAATAATTATTCTTTTTATTATGTTTTAAACTCGTTATTTTCCGTTAAAAAATTGGTGATTGTCTAAGCTGGACGTTAATATGATGGTTGAGATATTGTAGTTATTTCAGACTCTAGGATCATGTTTTATCACATCACTGTCAGCGGGTTAAAGTTCAACTTAGAATTCTGTCAATTTTTTAATTGATCAGTTTGGAATATAATAAATAATTGAGTAACCATTTTGTAACTTTTAAGAGTTGATGGACTCAACAAGGTACAACAACAAAACCCTATTCCAATATGTAATAGGGTAAGGGGGAGGTAGGGTAGTAGGTTGTCCTCAAACACCAGGTAAATGGACTCAACAAGGTAATACTCTATAATCGAGAGACTTAATAAAATAATACCATTAATCAGAGACCAGTGGGAATGTAAGATTACCAGGGAATATGATTACTGAGAATTTTGTATTTTGTGTTTGGTTGGTTTAACAGGAATGTAAGATTACCGTGTTTGGTTAAAGGAATAAAATATTATTAGAATGTATATTTGACCAAATTGTTCTTATTATATATTTGTTTTTAAACAAGTTGGAAAATATTTATATATTTTCTTTAAAAAATTTAAATTCATAAAATTTATATTTTAAACAAATTGAAATATAAAAAGGTTTAATCTAAGGGTAAAATTTTATTTTAACCCCTAAACTTCATATAAAATTTTAATTATAGATTTTTTTGTAAATCTAAAATAGTTTAAGGATAAATTTGTAATTTAACCTTCGTATAAATTTTATTATTCAATGACATAATAAATATTTTTTAAAGAAATTTTTTAAGGATATTTTAGTCCAAAACGTCGGTAATTCAACAATACCTAAGGAAATGGAGATAATGACATTCCCGATAATATACCCCAAAAAATTCACTATTGGAAATATAAAATTATCGAGAATGACATTCCCGACCAACCAAACGGGATAATGTGAATTTCATTCCTATGAGAATCTCACATTCCCCAATCAATCACACCCTAAATATAAAAGCAGGGTGGGAAGCAATTAGCAGTTAGTTTTGGCCTAATGCTACGAGCCGCATGCAACTTTATTGCGTGTTAATTTTATATGTACGCAGTTGGTGTGTTGCTCAGCCCCGAATGTTTTCTCGTCCTTTTGCTATCAATTCTAATCTATTGTTTCTGCATCAATAATATAATATGTAGGATAAACTATCCCACATGTCACAAAATTCTAGGGTTTATATTGATTTTAGGATAAAATACACAAATGATCCCTTATTATAGAGTATTATTTTATTAATTCCTTCTACTATTAAAAGTTACATAATGGCCCTTCGACTATAGAGTGTTGCTTTGTTGAGTTATTCGATTATTAAAAGTTACAAAATATTCGTCCGACTATTCATTATGTTCCACACTTGTTATTTTCCATTAAAAATTGATGTTATTTTGAGCTAAAAGTTAACATGTTGATTGTGATATATTAAAATATGCTCCCAAAATATCAAACAACTATCATATGTCACTCATCATGTTACCGTCTAAGTTAAAAGATCGTCAAGTTTTTAACGAAAAATGACGAGTTTGGAACATAATAAATAGTTGGGTGACAATTTTGTAACTCTTAATAATCGAGGGAATCAACAAAGTAATTTCATATAATCAGATGATTATTTTATAGCTTTTAATAATCGAAGAACTTAATAAAATATTAACCATAGTTAAGACTCTTGTATACTTTACTCTCGATTTTATTATTCAACTTTGAATTGATTTAATTTTAATATTAAATTTTAGTTTTGAATTCAATTAAAGCATTAGAACTTTAAATCATTGATAGTTAGATGATGTGACCGTTTGAATTTTTTTCTCAATCTTTTTAAAATTCACATAATTATATATAAAAATCTATCATTTCTTTTGCTTTGAAGCTTTCTGGGTTTTGAGCGGTTTGAGATGCTTGTTCGAAGACCAGAATGGTGAGAAATATTCTTTCGAAAATAAGAACAATATATATCAAAATTAGTCCCGTCGACTGCCTTTCAGAAGAGATTGAAGCATTAGAACGTCGAATCTTTAAGTAAAATTTTATCAATTTTGAGTAGATTTCGTAAAAGGTATATCTAAAAATCCGTCACTTATCATGATAATAGAGTAATAATGGTGTGTGCATTCATCCATCAACAGTTGCTTTGTTCAGCAACGCAGTGGAACTTGTCAATCAGGCTGTCAAAGGGGTAGTTTAAAAATGTTTTTGACATTGTCTGTGTGGTAACTTGAGTACACATGGATACCCCATCTTGTGTTTTTTGCTTCTACTTTTGTGGTAAAACTATGGTGATTGATTTGGTAATTACATCACACAACACACTCTCCAGTACCATAATTATCAAAATGGCTACTTTTTAGACTAATATGCATAAAAACAAACATTCAAGGCCAAGTTTAAAATAAACATTAGTAAAAGTATTGTATAGGTCGTGTATTTAGGAATGATTACGGGTTGGATTAGATCAGGTTATTGGCTCACTCAAACCTGATATGAGTATTATATCATTTCACCCGTCACTTGATCTAATTTGAGTTTAAGAATATTTCTCATGGTCTAATTTTTAGTTCTTGGGTCACTCAAACATGATCTGAGTATTACATCATTTCACTCATCACTTGATCCAATTTGAGCTTAAAAATATTTCCCAAGATCTAATTTTTAAATAAAAAATCATTAATTAAATATAATAATTCAAAGATTATAATACATTAGATAAATTTGTTCGTCAAACTATTAAAAAGGACAATTTATTACAATAATACTTATTTTTTAATTTTTTTTAATGATTCTAAAAAATATTTCTGGATTCACTAATCACTCAAATCCACTTTTATTTCTTATATTCCGGCGTGGGATTTTGGGCAGCAATGGAGACAAAATGGAAAAAAGAAAAAGGAAATTAACCGTTAGGTCGCGGTCAAAACTAAAAAAATGGTTAATTCTGATAAAAGTCCTTAAACTGAAGCTCAAATTTAAAAATGATTCTTAAATTTTAAAATAATCTAATTGAATCCTAAAAGTATAAATGTTGTATTAATCAAGGATAAGAAATTAGTTCCTTTTTTTTTTTCGATTTTTCAACTAAACTGATATAACTGAACCGAATTAATTTATCATTCTTTCGTCATATGTGTCAGTTTAGATTTTTTTTTATTAATTTAGAGTATTTGCAAGTGGTAGTATATGTTTTAAATACTAAATATTATTTAACAATGAACATTCAATTATTCTGCAGTCTCTGATACTCGAACTTGTGACATCTAAGAATAACAACCAGTAACCATTGAGGTAGTTTTGATCGGGTAAAACTTTAGAAATTTATAATTGAATGAAATAACCAACAAAACTAACTCCACAACTGGGAGATCGATCGAATTGTACAAAATAGAATCGAATTAATCAAGGGTGTTAATTTTGTCAATTTAAATCGAAAAAATGACCTATTTCGTATTGTCGTATTAAAGTTAGGTTTGGTACGAAGTGAGTAATCTCAGTGGTAAATGAATTGTTATTTCTTGAAGTTTAGGGTTAGAGCATCAAGAATGTCAGGGGTGTGAGCGTTCAATGTCAAATAATAAATGTTAATATTATTAATAATTGTTAATATATTAGATCTCTCGAGTTGCTCGTGATCTTTTCGAGTCGAGTATTAAATAATTCGTTTCGATTAGTTAAGAACTCGAGTCGAGTTCGTTTGAGTCAAATTTTTATCTAATTTTGATCAAATCAATCTCGAATGACACATTATCTGCATCGTCTCATCTATAATCCTATTGCGGTCTCACGTGGTGAAGTTGAAGTAGCAAAAGCAAAGACAGTAAAGTGGGGTTTAGGAGAAAGGACATGGATAGTAAAAGCAAAGACAGTAAAGTAGGGTTTAGGAGAAAGGACATCGATAGTCTCTGTTGAAGAATCGGGTAAAGAAAAATAAAAGAACACAAGAATTTTAACGAGGTTCAGCAATGTGCTTACGTCCTCGGTGCCTAGGTCGCGCTAGAAGTTTTATTCAATATCTTATAGGTTTAAGTTACATCTCTGTCCTCTTTACTGA